TACTGATGAGAGAGAAAGAGATATTTGTATTTTTCTATGAAACTTCTACAAAGGCCCAGTGAAGAGAGAGCAATTTAGAAATGTAATATCATCATTTCAAAACAACTTAGTTCATATATAATTCAAAAGAGCAATTTAGATATGAATTTAAAACTAAGAGTTTCGGGCGACGGGTCGCGTTGTAGAAATTGAGAGAGAAACTGGAGTGGAGGCTAGGGTTTTCTAGTTGGGTTTTGGGTTGGTTAGCGGTTACGGGTTTGGAACTTTAGTATTTGGACCCGAATTCTTATGTTTATTAAATTGTGAATATTTGTATACGTAATTGAATCTTACACTCATGTCTGTATCCGGATCCGGATTCGGATTCGTATCCGGGAAAAAATTCAAATCCGTATCCGAAACTGTATCCGCCTGGTTTTAAAAATGACTTATCATATCCGCATCCGTTCGGATACGAATGCGGATCGGTTCGGATAAAACCGAACCGTTTTTGGCACCCTGTATTACATCCCCAATCTTAAACTTTTTTTTCTCACAAACAGTCCATCAAATCAATATTAGAATTAACGATTAAAGGGATTGATTAGAGATGACTAATGAGAATTTAGGGACATAATAGAATTTTTGATGATTTCAAGGACTAAATTCTCTCTAGTTGCTATTTTTTTACTCTTGATTGGATGGACTAGTTAACTTAACAGTTGAGGGATATTAGTTTCTATAATTTGAGGGACTAATTTCAAAATTGCTTAGGAATTAAGAGATTTGGAAGCAATTTCAACGACTTGAGTTACTAATTTCAAAGTATAGAAGAGTTAAGGGACTAATATCGAAACCTTTTAAAATGATATATTAATAATAAGGAAATTAATCCCTCAGCTCATGGAAGTTTTTGTTTAATTATCAAATTATCATTATTTATTTTAATTTAATCACTGTAATTGATAACAATACTTTTGACTGTAATTGATAACAATACTTTTGGCTAGAGTTTCGATTCGACCTTGTGGAACAGACGTCGAGATCTGACGGCGTGCGGGAAGACGAGGCGAAGATGATGTGATCTGACGACGGCGGGAGACGAGGATCTGACGACGGCGGGAGACGAGGATCTGACGACGGGATCATACGAGGAGACGACGGCGAGATCCGACGATGTGCGGCGACAACGAGGCGGGCGAATACTGCGGCGGGTCGCGTTGTAGAAATTGAGAGAGAAACTGCAGTGGAGGCTAGGGTTTTCTAGTTGGGTTTTGGGTTGGTTAGCGGTTACGGGTTTGGAACTTTCGTATTTGGACCCGAATTTTTATGTTTATTAAGTTGTGAATATCCATATCAATCTTACACTTGTATCTGTATCCGGATCCGTATCCGAAAAAAAGAAGCCAGATCCGTATCCGAAACCGTATCCGTCCGGTTTTAAAAATGACTTATCATATCCGCATCCGTTCGGATACGGATGCGGATAGGTTCGGATAAAACCGAACCGTTTTGGCACCCCTGTATTACATCCCCCAATCTTAAACTTTTTTGTCTCAGAAACAGTCCATCAAATCAATGTTAGAATTAACGATTAAAGGGATTGATTAGAGATGACTAATGAGAGTTTAGGGACATAATAGAAATTTTGATGATTTCAAGGACTAAATTCTCTCTAGTTGCTATTTTTTACTCTTGATTGGATGGACTAGTTAACTTAACAGTTGAGGGACTTAATATTAGTTTCTATAATTTGAGGGACTAATTTCAAAATTGCTTAGTAATTAAGAGATTTGGAAGCAATTTCAACGACTTGAGTTACTAATTTCAAAGTATAGAAGAGTTAAGGGACTAATATCGAAACCTTTAAAAATGATATATTAATAATAAGGAAATTAATCCCTCAGCTCATCGAAGTTTTTGTTTAATTATCAAATTCTCATTATTTTTTTTAATTTAATCACCATAATTGATAACAATACTTTTGACTAGAGAGAGAATTTGAAGGCATCTTAAAAATTTGAGGATGTAGTAGCAATTTCAATAACTTAGCGGGTAATTTCAAAATAATTTAAGAATTAAGCGATCTAATAGTAATTTTAGTTATTTGAGGGAATGATTTTAAAATACGAAAGATGTAAGAGACTACTATCTGAAAATATGCTTTTTCTAATAAATGAGTGGGTTTTAAAATAAATGAAGCAAACTTTGGGTGTGGATGAAAAGAGACTAATACAGGGACCTAGTAGTAATTTCAATCTCATTGATTTGAGGGACCAATTTTAAAATATTAAATTCTAAGCGGCTAATAGCTAAAAAAAATTTAAATAAATAGGTGGGTTTTAAAATAATTGAAGTTGAACTTTAAGTATGGAAGAATAATAATGCTGTGAGGAGATTCGGACCCACCACCAACAATTATAAAAAGTAGTAGTATAACCATCATGCCATATTGTCTTTAAAACCACCAATCCAAAGTTTTTATTTTATATTAACTGCTAGTGTTTATTTCCACATTACCTACAGTACTAACCCCAATTGCTTTAGTATATGCCATATTGTACTTATTATTAATTGCACTATATAAATCCCTATAATTATATTGAGACAAGAGATTTCAAGTTCTCTTCTCTATGCAATCAGCTGAATATAAACTTCTAAGTTCTATTATGCTCAGTAATAGTTGAGTTGAACTTAGCTTCTTAAATTAAACATAGGATTCAAGAATATACTAATCAAAGTAGACTAGTGTGTGATCAAGCAATCTAAGAATTGCCACTTGTTTGAAATGTCAGAGAGAGTGCTTGTACATTTATACTTTCATATATAAATATGTTTTTCTTTCTATATATAGACTTTATGGAACTAACTTTTGATGTGCATCAACCTTGTACTAGATTTCCTGATCTTTTTATTGGTTTCAATCTTTGGCTATAGGAGCTTGAAAGTTCTTTCGAACGAGTGGATGAATGGTACTGAAGATTTGACTGGTAAGATTTTATCTTCTTCTTTTTTTCCTGTGATTTTTTTTAGTTTCATGTAATTTAATCAGTGGTCACAATTTGCGGAAACCACCAGAGTCTTTGTTGTTCAATGTCCCGCAAAAGAGGAAGACCTTTCTTTTCTATGTGGGATTCCTTTTCCTCCACCAGAGGCTATACAAACTGTCTCAATGGATTCCTCGAAGGTACTAATTCTACTCTAAATATTACCTAAAAATTCTCATTTATATTGATGTTTTGTAGTGGACTAATTTAATCTCCAAGTACCATTCAATTCTCAGATAGAAGAAAATATCGTTGAGAAGAAAGATGTCAGTGAGATGAGGAGAGAGGAAAATATCACAGAGAAAGATGACACTGACATGAAGCAAAAAACCAAAACTTGGTGCCTTAAAGTATGAAGATAAACTGGAAGTTTTAAAGAGGAAGCTAAGAGGAGGATACAAGGATGCAGAAGAAGGTATGTTTCTTAACACTATTTATTTGATTGTACTCTATTTTTTGGTACATATTAGAAACTAACTGGTTGGCTCTATAATTTCATAATGCAGCAAAGAAAAAGAGAAAGATTATGGTCGTTGACATGAATGACCCACACCCAGTTCAAAGCCAGAGCAAAAGGAAGACTGAAGTACAGCGTGGATGCCGCATTAACAAGTTTATCAAACTGAGGCCTAAAATTGATCACCACTCTTTGATTTGGTAGATAAGTTGAGTTGTTTTATTCATTCCCATACAGTGAAAAAGAAAAAAAAACACCCCAGGGTTTGCTTTTAATGTGTTGTGTACCTGGTTAGTGTCTTGAATTGAATTTTAACAAGAGCTTATGTAAATGTTTTGACTGTATAATGATTCTACTAATGTAATGTCTCAGTTGTCTCGGTGTACTTCTAAATTCAGTTTTTTTATTTTCTGTAGTGTGATAGACTGATTTTCAAAAGGACCTGTTACAATTAAACTCGAATAATGTATGCTAAATCTCAGCATGTTTGTTGCTCAAGCTCTCCGCAATGCATTTTTATACTGTCAGTTTCACCTGAAGCTAATAAAAAGAACAGTGTTGAGTAGATGAGAAGTTCGTGGATTCTTACTTCAAACTTTTCTACAGTAATCTACACACTTAGATGTTTCTAGTTTCTAAACTGTTAGCATTTGTAATACATGATTGCTACAAAGTATCAGTCCCGTGTCAGAAAGCTGATACATGTAGTTTAGTGCCAGATTCATGCATTACATATATCTGACCAATTTCTAGTATAAATGTCTTTCCATCACTGTCAGAGCATACAAAAAAGTACTCTGACATATGTGATATACTTCTTTCTTTTGTAGCCGAGAAACACTTCTTCCTATTTTGTATGCTTGATGAGCCTTGAGTTGAATGTTCATAACCTTGAATAGTATTTTGAAAGAATTTACAGGAAAAAAGGGTATTTGAGAGGAACTTCTTTATTGAATCAAATTTTACATTGTTTTCATTTGCCTACTGTGCCAGGGGAAAATTTTGATTATTCATTATCACATGTCGTGGACAGCCCTCCATGCATAATTTATAGATTACTATTATCTAAATTATGCGATCATGACTTGTGAGATCCAAAGCTGGAAAGTCACTTCCAATATCAAAATGTAGCACATAATTTTTTCTCAACGAGCACATTCGTTCTCTACATAATTAGTAAGACCATGAAATTATCTTATAAAATGTGGATAAAGCAGCGATCAACACCGGTTGGATTTTATCTCGGCTGACAAACACTATTAGTAGCTCCATGAGCAGCAGCACATACTGCACTTTCAACAAGAAAAGAATTCCTACCGGGAGTATCTGCTTGTACATAGAACTCAAGCTTGGCTCCAACACGTCAAAAATCAGCCCATTCAAAAAGCATAAATTAAAGGAAAAAGGTGATTATCATCAGAAACTGAACAATTCTTGTGAACTGACATACCTCCAAACACTAAGAAGCACAGGATAAGCAAACTAAGAAACAGCAAACCAGATTATACCCAGCGAAAAGAATGAAAAAAAATAATTTATTACCAAAAAATGACAGTATAACAGTTACAATAAGAATTCAAGAGTCACTGAAACATTCCATCAATTCATCCAAATAAGAGACAGTACCAACGTCAATTTCCAAATCCTCCCATGTCCAATGATCCTGCGATGGTGGTGGAAGAATGTCGATCAATGAGGATGATGCTTCATAAGAATCTAAAGCAGGAGCGCAGACCCATGTTGATGACAAGTATGGAGATGATGACAAGGGCTGAGAAGGTGCTTCAGTGTTAACCATGGAAGTTTTCTCAGTATCACAGAAGTTGCTGCATCCCTCAACACATTTCCGCTTTCGAAATCTGTCCTCTACATATGTCGCTGCTTGTTCACAAATAGAAGTAGCAGCACCAGATTCAGCAGCTGCCTTAAAATGATTTGTCATCGCTTCGTGTTCTTTAAGCAACATCTCTGTCACCTGCCTTTCATCCACTTCAACCTCTTGTTCTAAAACAGTATGCCGTTTTTCATCCATTGTTGAAATTAACTGATAGAAGGCTTCTGCTTCTTTGCAAGGAAGAAATGCAAGCAATGATGATGACGAGGGCGGTAGGGATGATGAAGCCTCCACCCGCTTCCTCTTTAGAGGCCTTTCTTCTACATGTGTTGCCGCTGATGTTGTTCCCTGTTCTTCTTGTTCAATAAGAGCTGCAACACCAGAGTCTGCATCTGCCCCTCCTTCTCTGTCTTCCTTCGTTTTCTTCTTATGAATTCTGCAGATTACCATGCTCTCGAACTTGTTACTGTTCTGAGCAGGCTTGATATGAAATTCGTGCATGATCCAGTTGGTATTCCTCCTTTTTTCCCCCTCGGTACTGACAAAAGTCAGTGGTGTCCTATACCCAACATGTCGAGATCCACAGAAGACATCTTGCTCTTTGCCTTTTCCATTCCAGAAACCACAGCCAGCGGTACGCTTCACATTTTTTGCCGTACCTTTTCTGCTGCTGATTGCGTGTCTCGGAGAGAAGAAATGCATGTCTTTGTTATTGTTTAGGTATTGAAAATCCCCTGCAAACCATGCATCAAGTGTGTCAGAACGAAAACAACTGAAAATTTTGCCGAGACAAACTCAAACTAGCAACTCAAGTAACAAGCAAAGTACGCAAGATGATTCTCAAAATAGAAAAACTGAGAGGGAGTTATCTCAACAATATTAGAAATATGTGGTTGAAAGGAGATACCAATCAGGCTATACTAACAACCTGAACACCCCCATTCTAGAGAAGAATAAAGCATGGCTCCTCTCCTTGTAAAACTTGTTCAGTTTACAGGTTTTTGATTGCTTCCAGAGATGGTTCTCTTTACCCACTTTGAGAAGCTTATAGTTGAAGGGCAGTTATATTCTGTTGATCAGATGCATGCCAATTAAATGTTGATAGTTGAGAGGAAGGAAATCTTAGAGGGGTCAGTAGAAGGAATTTTTCTATGTTCTGCCTGTTCTGCACTTTTCTGTGCATGTTGTGCAAACTTAACTGGTGGATCATGAGGCCTTAGCTCATCAGCAAGTTTAAGGCCTGGCATATATGATTGATCAGGGTGTGTGCATGCTAGCCTCAGCCAAAATGCATAATATCTTGATATTAGTTTTGTAAAGCACAGTTTACATGAGTTTCTTTTGAGCTTTAGTTACAGTTTTTGATATCTCATACATATGATGAGATTCTTGATGTATATTCATCAAAAGGCATCAGCTTTTTCTTTTCTGAATTTAATGCAATGATTATGCTTTGTTTTTCTAATTTGATTACGGTTATTGGTTTAACGTAGGCTACAAATGTTGCCAGCCTTATTACCTGTATGAAAAGAAGCAACACTAAAGAGATCAGGAACCTCGCTGAGTTTCTTTCCAAGTAAGTTTCTACGCGCTATGATATATTCAGTACTTTTGTATATACTTTTTGGAATGTCAGCGGTTCCAGTACTTAACTTTTTTTATACGTACACTGTTAAATTAAGTATTGAGTATTGGGTTAATGGGCTATTACCCGTTAACCTTAACCTTATTTGTATGGTTATATATATCTCTTTTTATCTCAATAAACAAGTATTCTATGGTTTGCTCTCTATTTTTCTCTTTCTACATGGTATCAGGCCCACCTGCCCTAGCAGCCCGCCCCACCTGCCCTGCCGCCGCCCCCACCTGTCCTAGCCGCCGGCCCCTGCCCTAAGCCGCCGCCTCCACCTCCCTAGCCGTCGCCTCACATGCCTCTAGCCGCAGCCCTACCCTACTACACTTCCTACCCTGTCTCCGCCCCCACCTACTGCCGCCCTCTACCACCTGCTACCCCTGCACACCCCCTAGCCGGCGCCCCTGCCCTAGCTGCTGCCAGCTTTTGTTTGTTGCTTGTTGTTGCCATTGTTATTGTAGTGTTGACTATTCCCTCGACATTTCAGTCCTCGAACTGATGAGAGGAAGATTGTATCCCTCGATATTTTAGTCATAGAACTGATGAGAGGAAGAGTATCTATCTCACCTTGTTGAGATCTTTCACTTCTATTCTTGTTTCCTTCGAGAAACGAGAATATAGAGATTGACTTGAGCCTTTGTGCAAACAAAAGCCAGGGCTCTCTCCCTCAGGTGATATCGCCTCCGAAGCGTGAGGGCGTGACTATCTACTACTCTGCCTCTTATATTTTTCAGATCTGGTATATGTCCGGCTGAAATATCATCATCCTGCTCCTGATCTGCTCTTAGTTTATGTTTCAAGAACAGATCTCTACTACTGCCCTGCCTATTTACTACTATTTGTCTACTATTATTACGCAAAAATGACTACTACTTCGATGTCGAAAATCTCCTCCTCTGTTACTCCTTCTGTTGTTGCTGGAGAGACCTCTTTGCCCAAGATAGTCTTGGGAACTATAATTAAATTGAATGGTAAAAACTATTTGCTCCGGGCACAAGCTTTCTGCATCTTCATTGGCGCTCAGAGCAAACTCTCACATCTTCTGGAGAATCCACCACCCACCTCCGATCCCACCTATAATTCATAGCTCTCATCTGATTATTGTGTTATGATTTGGCTTCCTCAACAGTATGGAAGCACAGATCAGTAGTAGCGTTATATTTTTAACCCCTACGAAGGAGATGTGGGACAGCCTGAAGATTATGTACGGGAATGAGAAGAATGCTTCCCGTGTATTTGATATTTATGAGCGACTGTTTACGCTCAAACAGGGAGATAGGTCAGTTCCGGAATTCTTTGGTGAGTTAAAAGGACTTATAGACGAACTATGCATCAGCCTGCAGTAGCTGATGCAGCGATGTTGTTGGGGTATCGTCGCGATCTGACAGTATCCAAGTTTCTTTTTGGATTGCATCCTAATTTACAGTCCCAGGTAAGGGGACAGATATTGGGTGGAGATATCATTCCCTCACTGACTACTACATTCTTCAAAGTCACATAGGTCTCTACTGGTGTTACTTCTGATACTACTGCACCGTCTCCACTTAAAATGGATCAGTCCGTCATGTTCTCTAGTCAAGGCAGAGGTCGTGGTCGTGGCCGTGATTCAGAGGGAGGACGTGGCTCCTTTGGCGAGAGACAAGGTGAATCTGATAAAGGCTCATGTCAGTGTGGTCGTTATGGGAGAACCAATCATATTTCTAAGAAGTGCTGGGAGAAGTTTGGTCGTCCTTAGTGGGCCTATGTAGCTGCCACCGAGTCGACTCACTCGTCTATTTCTGCTACTACTAGTGGTCCAGCTGTTACTGCTCTTACTGTTCAGATTTATCAGGCAGATTATGAGAGGTTACGCCAGGTAGATCTCTCTCAGAACATTCATTCTGCTATTCATGCATCCTCTTCAGGTATGGATGCTTACATAGCTTCTTCTCACAAACCCTATGTACTAGATTCTGGAGCCTCATCCCATATGACAGGTATAAAGGATCACTTTGTATCTTTATATCTTTCTGATAAGTTTCCATCTATCTGCATTGCTGATGGTACTCTTTCTACAGTTCGCGATGATGGAGTAGTTCATGTTACTTCCTCTTTAAAACTAACTGATGTGTTATATGTTCCCAAATTCCATGTTAGCCTATTATCTATTAGCAAGTTTACAAAACAAAATAACTATAAAGTCACCTTCTTTCCATCTTATTGTGTTTTTCAGGACCTAACAACTGGGATGATGATTGGTTTGGGGTATGAGATAGGAGGTATATACTATTTGGATGATAGTGTGCCAGAGGCTGGTCTTATTGCATCACAGGCTGACTCTACTTTATTGTGGCACTAGCGTCTGGGTCATTCTTCACTATAAAAACTTAGATCGGTAGTTTCTGTTCAGCCATCTATTTTCTCTTTAGGTTGTGAGTCGTGTGAACTGGGTAAGCACCATCGTGCTACTTTTCAGAGTCGCGTTGATAAACACAGTAAATTTGCTTTTGGGTTGGTTCATTCTGATGTCTGGGGTCCTTATCGTGTTTCCTCTATGTAAGGTTTTCGATATTTTATTATCTTTATTGATGATTTCTCTCGCATGATGTGGCTTTATTTGTTAAAAGCAGTGTTGTAAATAGCGGCCAATAGCGGGGCTATAGCGGCGCGAATAGCGGTCGCGGCCCTTCAGCGCTACGCGTAGGGGTTTCGCGGCTGGCTTAAGCGGGAAAATCCGCTATTCATTCGAATAGCGCGTAAAAGCGGATTTTAGCGGGTTAAAAGCGGGTTTTCGCGGTTAAAAGCGGATTTTCGCGGTTAAAAGCGGATTTTTGTTGTTAAAAGCGGCTAAACCCGCTAAACCCGCTATCACACATATTATGATGCTATATTTCTTGAATTTCTTCATAGTTTCATTCATACAACAAGCTTATTAATTGTTATTTATTGATAATACAAGAAATTTACAACTAATTGAATTTTTAGATTTTTTTATGAATTTTCTTATTATTTAGGATATTTAAATATATTTAAATTTGACCGCTATTTGACTGTGCGCTATTTGCCGCGATTTCGCCGCAATAGCCCGATATAGCCTTAGCGATACCTCGCCGCGACGCGCCGCGATCCGCTATCAGCAACCTTGGTTAAAAGAGAGGTCAGAGGTCTCGCACGTTATTGAACTCTTTTATAATGAAATAATAGCCCAGTTCTCTACTTCCGTTCGTATTCTTCGTACTGATAATGCTTTGGAATATATGAAAAGTAACGTTTTAAAATTTTGTGCTCTTAATGATATTATTCATTATACTTCTTGCTCTCATACTTCATAACAAAATGGAGTTGCTAAGAGAAAGCATAAACATATTCTAGATATTGCTAGAACACTGATGATATATATGAATATTCTAAAGTATTTATGGTCTGATGTTGTTCTCACTGCCAATTATTTGATTAATCGCATGCCTTCCTTTGTCCTTGATGGTTTTATATCATTCAATTGTCTTTATCCTGATAAAAAATAATTTTTTTGTGATTCCCCGTGTCTTTAGTTCTACGTGTTTTGTTTAGGATTAAAAAGCTGGTTTAATAATCTGTCTTCTAGATCCATCAAATGTGTTTTTGTTGGATACTCTCGTACTCAAAAGGGTATAGGTGTTATCATCCGTCCACCAGGGAATATTTTTTATCTGCTGATGTTACTTTTTTTTGAGTTTGTCCCATATTTTTCCTTTGGTTCCACTACTATTGGTTGTCCACAGGTACCACTACTTTCTCCTATTCCTACTACTATTCCATTACCTGCTTCTGTAGCTCCTGCACCGAAGCCTCTACTGACATACTCTTGCCGCCCAAAAATACATGCTCCTGACTCTGCTCTTGCTGAACATTCATCTCCAGTTGCTGGTCCATCTCATGTTGAGACTTCTATTTCTTCTGATTTGGATATTCCTATTGCTCTTCGAAAAGGTAAACGGTCTTACCTAAAATATCCTATCTCTCTTTTTGTCTCTTATGACCATCTCAACCCGTTTTTTCGTCAGTTTGCCTTGTCCTTATCCACTGTATCTATACTCAGGTCGCATGAAGAAGCTATGTTAGTACCAGCTTGGAAACATGCTA